GTGCCAGAAAAGTGGCCTCGGCTCCCCAGGCCACCGGAGCCAAAAGCAGTAACTGGGTTCTGAGAATCAGGCATCGGATTTCCCCAGGCCAGGATGACACACGGTCAGGTTCATCTGGAAACGGAACTTTGCCACCGCTGCTTTATGCCGGCCTTGGGGCCCCAGCTTCCTCGGTCACAGCCAAATGGGGCCCGAGGCTGGGGTTGGGGGCACCAGCAGAGCCAGGGCTCAGCCCTGGGGCTCAGGGCTCCCCGACTCTCTCCCCCTCCCTGTTCCCCCTCTTCATTTCCACTGCTCTCTTTGGCTCCCTCAGCAGCAGATTTTCTGGTGCGCCTGCCAAAACCAAAGACAGCCAGTGGATAAGCAGCTGCAGCTTGAAAGCCGTTCCATTTTGTAAGTGCTGTTTGCATTCAGAGTTTTCTGGAACCGCAACCCCCATCCGTGTTCTTCAAGACACTTGAACCACTGAGGCAACCACATGGAAATGACTTTCCTTTCACATGGAAGGAAACCAAGACAAGTGGGGACCAACCGGAGGGCAAGATGGGTCGCTTCCAACTTCTTCAGAGGGAGGGTTGAGCTCTGACACTAAACTGTCTGCCTCAGACACAAGGTAGCATTTCAGAGAGCACAAAGCAGGAATAAATGCTAAGTAGTGATGCAAACAAATCTTCCTGCTTCCCATGTGCCCACTAGGTGTTAGTTGAATGGAATTATTGGCTGAAAAGGTTGTCTTGCTGATGTACAAACTCCTTAACTTTTAATTTTTATTTTTCAGTACCAGTAATTAAATTTAGGACCTCGAGCTTACCAGGCAGGCGCTGTGCCACTGAGCTACATCCCCAGCCCAAACTCAACTCTTATTTTGCTGCTTGGAAAGGTCAAGTTACTTACATTGTGTAGAATACTCTAGGCAAAGCTCCTCCTGATGGTTTTTAAAATAATATTGTGCTGTTCAAGAAAGCTACATTTTGTCTCTAATTCAAATATGAATGTCAAGGGGAAAAACCAACTCTATGGAAAATCTTGCTGGGCGTGGTGGCGCACCCCTGTAATCCCAGCACTTGGGAGGCTAAGGCAGGAGGATCATTGTGAGTTTGAGGTGAGCCTAGGCTACAAAGTGAGCTCAAGGCCAGCCTGAAATGCACAGAGAGAACTTGTCTCAAAAAGACCAAAAAAAAAAAAAAAAATCTTCTGTAAAACAATTTGTTTATTTGAATCATGGTAAACCATGTAACACAAAATTTACAGTTTAAACCATTTATAGTGCATAGTTCAAGTGCATTGAATATAGGTCACAGGCTGGGGGTATAGCTCAGTGGTAGAGCATTTGCCTAGCACGGGTAAGGGTTCAATCGGTCATCTCTAGATATTAGTTCTAGAGATGAGAGAACTAGATACTAGTTCTTATAAGAAGGCCCTCATGCTCCACCCCCACCAGTTTTGGCCACACCCAACCCTGCCTCACTTCTGCCTATACACTCTCGGGGTTTGCACCTACCTGAGTCTCACTCGAGGACCTCGGCTGCCTGTTGTCCCAGCCAGGTTCTGTTCTCCAGCATCTGCAGTCTGGCCAGGCCAGGCCAGCATGTGTAGCTCTGCGCCACCCTGATTTTGCTCCGTGTGCTGTTTCCCAAAGCATCTGTTCCACTGTTGCAGGCTACACTCCTGGCAGTCATTACTCTTTCTTTCTACCCTAAGCCATCAAACACCAAGCGTTGCTGATTTTACTTCAGAGGTATGTTTTTAAAATCCTTTAGTGGTTCTGTTACCAGAAAGGGGTCCTGTGGGGCTTCTTTCTAGGTGCTTGGTCTCTCTAACATAGAACTGGACAAGACAGAGAAAGGGCAGTGAAAGTGTATATTCATGGAAGACAGAAAAGAAGTACGCTCTGCAGAGAGGGAGGGCCAGGAAAAAGGCTCACTGCAGCCTAGGGGATAAGGAAAAGGAATTTACTTTTTGTATCAAAAATTCCCAGCTTTTGTCTCTTATCTGCAAATAAGGCATTGGGAAAGTCATCCTATCACTCACTTGGCATCATGCCATGTACAGTGGAGAGCCCTCAATACCAGTCGCTGAGTTAGAATTCCACCCTGTAGGCGACAAGGAAATAAAACAAGGCAACAGGGGAGGGGCACCCCTGATACAGCGATGCCGTCGTCACTGCACAAAGAGCCATTCGGAGCAAGGCTGAACTTCCTGTCTCTCGGTGCCTCAGGCTTCAGGTACTCTGGAAAGGTTTCTTTTGGGAAGCTGGGTTCTGTTTCTTGAGATAGGCACAAGACGCATTCCACCAACAGGTTAAATTAAAACACCAGAGCCACTTTGGAAAGTAAGTTTCTCAGAGTCACACCCACTAGAGGTAACTAGTGATGACGATACCAAAAGTTTGGTGTATTTTCTGCGTGAAGGAGACCATCCCTCATCACCCAGGTTACCCAGTGGCCCTTCTGTAGTGGCTGGCAGCCACACACCAACCTTGAGTCGAGAGGGATGGGACGTATTCCACCTGAATTTTATTTCCAGGTTTAAGACAGTGAGTACCCAGAGTTTCTATAACAAATGATTTGTTTTTAAATGTGTCAAATTTTATCAGAACCCGTGCTTCTCAGTGAGTCTGGGCATCAAGGATACTGAGAGCTGCATACACGCAACATGTCTACAATCACTGCTAAAACTCACAAAGCAAGAAATGTCACCTTTACTTGGTCAGAGAAGCTGAAAGCCCAAGCATGTCACTGCCCCCCCTCACCCTAGGATCCTAGGGTGTGTGGAGCCCACCGGACAGTGAAGGAGAGAGTGCTCTTCTTGTGTGTGACTCAGTTGCTGTCCAATCCCTGCTCCACCCTTACAAGGAGATGAGCTTAGAAAAATTACATAATCTGAGTCTCAGTTTTCTCATCTGAAAAACGGGACTGACTGTGATTTTCATTTAAGGAAATGTTCTTTCTTCTCTTCTTTTTTCTCCTCCTCCTCTTCCCCTTCATCATGGTTACTTCTTTGTAGGGGTTGCATAGAGCTCGGCATAAAATCATTTGTGTGTTTAATTCTGTAGGGAAGGGTTAACTAAATGCAGAAAATAGACCATGGTAAGTAAAAATTTGGTCTGAGGTCTTATGCATCTGTATCTGTTTCTTTGGGTCTATGACAATGTCTCTGCCTATGTCTATGGTATGTCTATACCAAGGGCTATCTATGTCTATCTGTGGCTACATCGCTACTTTTGTGGCTATGTCCATGCCGATGGCTGTGTCCACATCCACGTCTGTTTCTGTCTGTGTCTGAAGGCCACAGTAGGGCGTGTGTAATGGGCAAATACCTCGTGGCCAGGAAGCATGAGAGGAGGGGCCAGGGTCCCCCTCTGCCCTTCAAGGGCACCCCAATGGCCCCAGGACCTCCCTGTAGGACCCCTCTTCTGAAGGTTCCATCTTCTCAGTGCCACCCCAGGGACTACGCCTTAGCGTGTGGGCTTTAGGGCACGCTCGAAGCTATGGCGAAGGAGAACTCTCAGAACTGCAGGGCCGCGCAGAGCGTGGAGGAGCCAGCACGTGCTGCAGCGCCAGTCACATTAGCACAGCAGGTGGCCACGCCCAGGTGGCGCTCAGCGCTGTCCCCGGCACACAGTGGCCACAGGAGGCCGATCTGATTCTTGGGCTGTGTGGGCCTGAAAGCCCAGAGCTAGGAAGCACCGGGAACCCAGTGAGTGTCACTTCCGGCTGGGCATTCGTAAGCTTTTAAAAAGGTATGACGACATTTTTGACGTATGGTGTTTCATAATGTGCCCCCTTCATCCAGGGTTTCCTAAGTCTTCTTTTTAGCGCCTGTGCACCCGGGTGGTTGTCATGTGTGGCTATACTCCAGTTCATGGTGGGGTTCTGGCTTGAAAACCCCACGGTGAAGGTGGAAACCTCACAGGTCGAGGATGCAGGCAGCACTGCCCCTCCCAGCTCCGCAGCATGATATGTCACAGGCCTGGGCTGTCCCTATGCGACCATGGGGCTGGGTGGGAGCTGTGGCTCTCGGTCACTGCCCAGCAGACTGGGCCACACGGGGTTAGCTCACCAAATTTCAAATGCAGTTTCTACCGAGTGTATTCTTCCCACCCCATCAAGTGGGGACCATTTGTGATCAATCAACCCTACTGATGGATACATGCACTGTTCCCAAGTTTTCACTGTTGTAAAAATACCCAGATAAATTTAACTGCCTGGGCATTTACTTTCCTATTTCCTGAAAGAATTAATTCCTTACAAACAGAGTTGCTAGATCTAGATTTATTATCAATTTAGACCTCTGTCAACATGGAAGATTGCATTTTCTTTTACCCTCACAACAGCGGGCATGAGTATCAGAAATTTCACTTGTGTTGCTGATGTTTTTGCTAGTTGAGCCTCATTCTCCACCCAGAATTTGAAAGATGTGCTTCAGAAGGGAGGAGGTGTGGCCCTGATGGCCTGGATCATGCCAAGCTCAGGCCATTTTGAGAACTCGCAGTGTTAGCTGCTTACTGTCCATCCCAGAAAACAGACATCAGGTGTAGGTGCCAGAATGTGGGCTCTACACATTCACCTGGATTAGAATCCCGGGTGGCTCTACTCTGGTCAGTCACCTATGTGACCTTGGCTTAATAATCCTTCATCTGCAGGACACGGATGAAAATATGCTGTAGGTCTGGGTACAGAAGCAGCGCTAACTTTGTAAGATAAAATTCCCTCAGATACCAAGAAGCAAATCAAAGAAACATATACATGATTTGATGTAAAGGTAACAAGTGGGTAGAACCAAGTATTTGAGGAATATTTTCCTTGTAAGAGAAGTGTGGTAGATGTGGTTGGATGGGCTCAGGGTGGTTATCTTCTAGTTCCTAACCACCTCATAGGCACACTATTGTGCTTATTTCCTTAAACTGCATGGAGGCTGTAGGGCAAACTATTTCACAGAAAAGGTAAAACACCCCAAGAGAAATTTCTCAAGTGAAGAATTAGTCAGAGAAACATTTCCAAGGTGTTAAGAAATATTAGTTTATTTAACCAGTTTTCACAGCTGAATATTTATTCTATAAAAACTTTACAGATTGTACAGTTTATATATAGTTCAAACTACTGAACGAAAAAGTAGGTCCCACAGATGCAAAAATACTGTACCAATCAATCCAAGGTAAAGGCAGATTTATACACTGTACAGCTCTCCATGTGGCCAGGGAGGCGGTCAGTTCTAAGTATAAACTTCAAAACTGTACAAAAATAAGGTACTGATTTCATTTCATTCTTCATACATTCAATGTGATTGCAAACCCAGAAGCCCAGCTATGCACGGGCTCCTGCAGCCAGGATTCAGCCCCATTCCTGCAGGGGGCGTGGTGCCCATCCTGCAGGCGCTCTCGGATGGAGAAGCAGGGGCCGAGGACAGAAGTGTCGAATAGAAGGTAGTTCTTTTTGTTTGGAAAGGAGTTTCTGTATTTAATAGTGTGCCAAAAAGAATTTTAACTTATTAAATAAAATATATTCTAAGTGAACCTAAAAATTACACTTTATAAACATAAAAATACTTTTTTTTGGTGTAATACATCAATCGTATCTGCAGATAGAAAACCAAAACTGTATATAAAGTAGTATTTCTCACCCAGTAACAAGAAGCACTTAATGGAGTTATTTTTCAAAAGGGTCAGAAAAGCTATTTAAAACCCACTAAAACTAACTTATAACTTAACTCATTCTTATCCTAGTCAGTGACTCACTAATACTGCACAACAGGCTTTCCCCTAGACAGTGGTTTCTTCATGTTAACTGGGTAAGAAGTGGACTGTGAGGAAGGAGAACCTGCTGGTCCTACAGCATGGGTCCTCAGTGCCTGCTGAGCCTGTCCTGGGAAATCCTTTTCCCAGAAGGTACGTTTTGCTTCTGATTTAGAATTCTGCATCTCTGAAGTGTCTGCACTGCCTCCTCGGAGACAGAGGAACATCCCAAGCTTTGTATCTCTATGTGGGGCAGAGGTGAGGCTGGCTCCTATGCCTTGTAGTAGGGAAGGATGAGGAAAACAAACATTATTCCAGACTTTCCTGTCACCCAAATGAATGAAACATAATTCTTCTTTTGTACAGTACTAGCCAAAGGAAACAAAAACGAGAGCTTCGGAGAGCAGTCTAGGGCCTGCCACTGTGCCTTTATACGTGTGTGGAGAAGTACAAAATAATGTTTGGACAAAAGAGCTTTGTAGTTATTTATTTTAAAGGTACAGGACTTAAAAACTCCTCTGAAATAAATAGCTTGGATGTTTCTAGTCCTGCTTCCAAGGATGAGCTACGGGTGAATGTGTTTTGGGCCGTGAGGATGGGCTGTGGCACCGGGAGCCGACGCCCCGCTCCGAGCAGCTCAAGGGTCCTCCACGCGGGGCTGTCCCTCAGAACTCATCAATCTTCCTCTGCAAGTACTTCAGCATGGAGTCCATGCCCTGGGCTGAGCCCCAGATCTTCTTCAGCACCTCGCACTCCCTCTCGTTGGCCTGCTCCAGCTCCAGCTTCATGTTACAGCGCACCAGGGCCTTGGACTCCTCCAGCACCTGTGGTGGACAAGCGGGTTAGTGAGCTGCGGCTCTGCACTCCGCCTGCACGGAGACAGGGACATGCCTGGGTCAGGCACTCCCTGGTGCTGTGCTAATTAGACCCCTGCACTCAGGCCTAAAGCATATTTAAGGTGCAGCTGACCACCTGTACCTGTGGGTCCCCTGTCCATGGGTTCAACTAACCTTGGATGTAAAAATCTGGGGAAAATACAGAACAAAAACTGTTCCTGTCTGGAACATGGGCAGACTCCCCGCTTTCCCTCTTTATTCCCTAAGAAATACAGTGTAACCACCACTTTCATAGCACTTACAGTGACTGTGTTATAGATCTGTAGATCATCTGTAGATCACTCACAGTGCATGGGGAGGTGTACCCCGAATACAAGTCCTGTGGCACTTTGCACAAGGGACTAAACGTCTATGGATTTTGGTACCCACGGGTATCTTTTCTCCCTGGACCCAGCACTCCAAGAATATGGAGGGATGACGACATTTCACTAAATGCTGGGCAAATTTCCAACTTTAAAAGCGCTCTTCAGTTTCTTCTGGACAGCTGGGTTGTGGCACCCTGGCCGTCACCCACCCCTGGGCCAGCACTGGGCCCAGCACTTCTGCTGCGGCCTGGTATGGGGCTTGCACTGGATCCACTCCACCGATGTGCACTACAAACCTCAAGCACTCCCACTGAGTGGACTTACTAAATGAAATGTAATTCTAGTTGTGAAGGCCGTTTGAATGTCTGATGTAGTTTAGTTGGGAGACCATGTCAGTTAACAGGAACTAACATGTCATCCTGTAATTTGTTAAATGCACTTTTGCAAGAAGACTGAACATTATTCACTGTATTTATTAAACAAAGACCTCTGGCCCACGTGTGCTGGGAGAACCTAAACACGATTAGGGCAGCGTCTTGCAAACACTGAACAATGACACGGACGTTGGTTGTTGTGGATGTTCCCGGGGCGTTTATGTCATGAGACTTCTTGCTAAGGTGCACCCCTTTAGTTCCTGGTTGCAGGAGGACAGTTCTGCTGCAAGCAGATGCGTAGGGGCTAGGAAATTCTGTCTCATTTGTGAGCTTGATGGAGGAAAGGTGAGATGTACATATAAAATAACACGGAAGAGACGTACAACTGGGTTACAAGAGGCGAGCTCCTTGATGCGAACCATGACTTCCTGGGTGAACGTCCCTGGCCAAAACACCTGGGAAACCAGGCCCTTGCCGCACGCCTCCTGCGCTGTCAGTTTCCGCCCACTGAGCAACATCTCATTTGCCTGAAAGGAAGAAGAGCAGATTGGATGTGATGTGAAACGGGAGGGGAAGCAGGCAGAGAAGACCCGCCCCAAACTCATCCCTCAAACACGCAAAATGAGAGCCGAAGTGTGAGAACGCTGGGCCCTGCCCCGTGTGCTCTACTGGCCACTAAGAATAAAGCATGCGCCAGGCACAGTGAACTGGGGGACAGGGGAGCAATCCAGCTTCCCAGGGAGAACAGGCTTACTTTACGTGTAATGCAGAATCACACGGACTTAAAAAAATCTAAATGAGAAAAGACTTGCGGTTAATCTGCAAAGTTACAGGTTATTCCTCCTGAGTAACACCAGCCTCTCCCACATGCGAGCTCATTTAAAACAGCAAGACAGCCCGGCAAGGTGGCCGCACACAAGGGTAGGCGCTTGAGCCCGGCACGGAACGGTGACTGAGAGCTTCTGTACTGGGGCCCAGGGGACTTGTCCTCGATACACAGACAGCGCTGACGGCACTGCGTGCTGCTGCTGGCACCCTGGAGGCCGTGCTGGCCCGGGAGGGATGGGCCAGGACCTGAGTGTGCCCGAAACACTGCAGCGGACGCGGGTCTGACAGTCACTTCACTGGACTCAACCGAGACAGCGAATGCTGTTTTTAAAAAAGGTTGTGTGTGTGTGTGTGTATGCAAAACTGACCCGACCTTTGTCCTGGGTTTGAAGTCACTTTCAGGCTCAGCACAATCTACAGGGATTTCACTGCACTCGGGTGAGGCTCAGGCACGGTGGCAGGGTGTGAGGGGAATATGCAACCCAGCGGGACAATTTCCTGTCCGTTCCCCTCATGGGGCCAACCTTCCCAAAGCTCCCTAGGCCGTGAGGAACTGGCCCGAGCTTCGCAGGCTTGGGTAGACGTGGCGGGTGGCTCCCTCTTCCAGAGGGGATGTGACCTGGAAAAGGCCCCGTAGCTGCCCCTAGGGCTGCCTTCGAAGCACCACGTAGGCAGCGTGCACCGTGCGGCTGACTCGCCCTCTGACAGAGGTGGGGTGGGGCCCGCTGTCACCCCCAGCAGACTGCGGGGCGAGCTCAGTCTTGGATAACATCATGGTGAAGAGTCGGGAATGTTCTGCCCCCCTGCCCCGGGACGTTCTGTCACTAGGCCCTTCCCAGAGAAAGGATGGCCCATAAATGAGTGACGGACTGACACGGACTCAGCTGTGCTCCGCAGCTACGGCCGAGTCCAACGCAGTGACAAAGGCCCCCAGGCAGGGTCCCGAGGCCATGCTACTGCGGCAACCGTGGTTTCCTTCCCTAGGTTGTATCTCATTCTCAAGAGATGGAGACGACAGTGCCACAACTTAGCCCTGCACCCAAGCGTGAGGGTCAATCTCAAGGCCAGCTGGGCTGGGGCAGCGCGTGCCAGCAACCTCACGCAGCCCAGTGAGCACGGAAGAGCAAGCCCTTGCTGCCCTCGGGGGCCAGTCTTGCTCTGCCACTTCCCTGTGTGTCTCTTCCTGTCCCCTGCAGGTCACCTGGAAGCTGACCACTGCTCCCTGCCAGGCCTCTGCCCGGCTCTGGTGCTGGGCCCGCAGACACCCTGCCGTCCCAGCCGCCTCTGCCTGCCGTACCGCTCCCCCAGCCTTGCCGACAGCCCCCCCAGATGACAGCACCCACTCGAGGCTGTTCACCCTTTCCCATGGAAACACAGGCAGGGGCTCAGTTACACAACAGTCATCAGAACAAGAAAACCCAGAAGCTTCCTGAGAAAAACACTTCCTCAGTCACGAGCGGGAGAGGGCTCCGAGTGCACCCCACTCCCTTTTCAGCAGTTTTAAAGCGGGAGGTTTTAAATTTCCGCCCAAGCTGCACCCTTGCAGAGGACGAAAGGCAGACAATCCGCAAGGACACTGATGTGGCCAGAGGGAGGGGGACAGAGCTCTTCCAGTCCAGCCGAGACGCTGCCGAGAGGTGTGGTGAGGAAGGGCAGGCCAGGGAGTCGCCCGGTATGGGGCAGCTCCGGCTCTGCCTCACTCCTGGGGCCGTCTCCGGGACCCTGGGGGAGGACCCCAGCTTGGCACCCGCCCAGGACCGAGAGCCACACGGCTCCTGAAAGGGTCTGCACTCGTCACCTGGGCCATCCTTTGTGCTTCCCTCAGCTGAGGCACCTCAGACGTCAACGACAGCACCCAACCACTCCTGAGCCTGGAGGCTTGGGTGAGGGACTGTGACTTGCAAGGCGCCTGACACGGCAGACACCTACGAATGTCTCCTAGGGCAGCACGCGGGAAGGTGGCGCCTGAGCTAGCGACCCAGCAGCACCTGTGCACGAGGCGCCGCTGAGAAAGGCTCCGCGCGTTCTCTTATCCTCTGATTCCTTGAGCTTACTCGCTGGCAAAGCTTTAACAGGCCACAGGGACAGAGGCAAACCATCTCAGGCTTGCCTGCAGCTGCGGAAACTGCAGACACCAGAAGCTCCTGCAAGTAAGTGACCGACGAGAGTGGCCACATCCCCTTGAGCGCACTTACCTTCTGCCTGGCGTATCTGTTTAGTCAGACACTGCACAACAAGCGCTGCATTTACACCGTGTGCAGTGTGAGCTTGCCCCTGCCTGGGCAGTTCTGGGGCAGGGCACCGTCCTGTGTGTTGGGAGACAGCGAGCAGCATCCCATCCCCGACTGACCAGCATCTCCTCAGCTGTGACAACTGAACATTCTCCAGACAGTGCCACACACGACCCAGGACCTGGCCACAGGGGATGCGACTGACCAAGCGGCCGGTGTTCGTTCTGCAATGGCTTCAAGCCAGGCAGGAATCCGATGTCTGCGCAGTGCGCGTGCGCTCCGAGACCTCACTGCTGAGCAGCCCTGGGCCCAAGCGCCCCACTTCCCTGTGCCCTCAACTCCTTTACTGCTCCCCAGGTCTGCCTGTCCGCGGCCCTGGACCACCACACGTCTGCCCTGACCCCACAATGCAGGCAGAGGGCGAATCCTCCGGGAAACAACAAGCCCAACGTCGCTGTGACGGGGTTTCTTTACTGCAGTCAGCAGCAACTGTTAGGAGGCAAAGTACTCAGAGCCGCAACTCACGGTGCGAGAAGGAATCTGCTGGGAGCCTTCCCACCCTGGAATCAGGCGGCGGGTGCTGCTCCGTGGTTGGACAGATGGGCACAGACGGGGCCCCACGTCTATCTGGAGGGCATGGAGCATGCCCTGGGCGGACACAGATGTCCCAGTGGGAAGCCCTTGCTGCCCAGCTGCCGGGAGTGCAGCCAACAGGACCCACAGCTGCTCCTCCGCTGGCCCCTATGACACAGTGGCCGCGGTGTCCAACAGCCAGGGTGGCGGAGACACCTGTGGACTAGATGTGTCGCCGCTGCCTGGCTTCACCTCTGCTCAGCCCTGCTGCTTCTCCACCCTTCCTCCAGCGGTGACGCCAGAGAAACTACACTGGGGGTGGAAAGAATGTGCGCGGACGACTTTGGGGTAGATGGTGCTCCAGCTCGCTGGCAAGCAGGGCCCCACACGGGGCAGATGGCACCCACAGCACCCAGGGCCAAGCTCCACACACAGCTGTTCATCTACCTGAGTCCTGAGGCTGTAGAAGGAGGGGTGGTGGACGATCGGCATTTCTGGGTGGAGGCCCTCGAATTCTGAACCTCAGACTCCTCTGTCACGTGTGCCCACGGAAACGCGCCATGGGTCCCTACTGGGCAGGTGCTGCTTCCTCGGTGGAACACAGTGCGGACTTCTCTCTACAGAAGTGCCCCGGACATCTGTCCCATCTCCCTTCCCGGCACCACTCCTTCCCCAAAGGGACTGCAGGCCAGGCCTGCAGGTGTGGAGGAGGCTGCAGGACGCGTGGGACCGATCCTGAGGGCACCTGACCCAGGTGCAACAGCTGGGAGACACTGAATCGCCCCGGCAGGGTTCCTGGTGACAGTGTGACCCTGCTCCAGGAAGCAGGCGAGAGTGGGGTGCAGGCCAGTGGAGCTGGAAGGCATGAGTGCGGGGGCTGACCGGAGGCGGGATAAGATGCCATGGGAGCTGACAGCAAGCGCTCAACAGAGGGACACAGTGCAGCCCCTGGGGTCCTGGAGAACGCGGTGCCCTCCTCAGCAGGGACGCTGTGCTGCAGTGCTGAATGAGCTCTCCAGAGACTGAGCAGTGACCCTGGGACACAGTGACCACACACGAGAAACACCTGCCGGGAGCTGAGCTCTTGCGTGCCCACACCCTGGGCTCAGGTGCACAGCTGGGACCTGATGCGTGTCCCAGGGGAGCACAGGTGCCCTGCCTGGCCCACACCTATGGCCACGTGGGGGTCCCGTGACCAAACATGGTCAGCTGGTGTGTGGGCACGCACGCCTGAAGGGACAGAAACCTTGCTGCTGCCTCCCTGGCACAGTGGTGAGGAAAATACCCCGATGGGGGATTACCCAGTCACTGCCCAGTACAGCAGGTCCAGGTTAGAGTAATACTGACCCACAGCAGGGCTACACGGCCCAGATGGGATGGAGGGGTGGGGTCAGGGGACAGGAAAAGGCGGAGTGCTGGACCACGCTCCTGTCTGCCGGGGGCATCCGCCACAGAGGAGCACTGAGTGACAAGGACCTGAGACAGCCGGGCTGCTGGCAGCCGGCACAGGCATGGCAGACACATGATCCAGGCGGCTGGGGTGTGAGGGGCGGAGCTCTCCAGTGTGTGAGCTCTACTGTGAATCAGCTGCGGGCACCGCAGTGTCCAGCCTTCGGGGGTGTGGTGGGTGGGGGTGGCAATGCTGAGCCGTTGTCCTGAGCACAGCACCGTGTGGCATGGTGACCACACTCGGGGAACGGGCCCTTCCTCAGGCCTGCGTGTCCTGCTCCCAAATCCTTCCCACAGCAGCCTCTGAGGCTCATGGGTGCCAGAGTGCTGCGCCTGACCAGCAGAGTCCCCTTGCAGGGGGGACATGCAGGACGGGCAGGACCACGGGGCCTGTAGGCCGAGTCACCGCAGCACCTGCAGAGGCTGTAGTGGGGAGCTACTGGTGGGGCACAGCGGTGCACGGTGCCCTGCACACCTTGCTTCGAGGTCTGGCCTCCAACAGGAAGGAGGCCTCTTGGTCTCCCCTGTCTGGTGCCCAAGGCAGCCACTCTGGCCCTGGCAGGGCATGGAAACCAGGACGACACTATGCATCTATTGAGAAAAGTGAGATCCCAAGACAGAGTGGCCGACGAAGCACGCAGGGTGGAGGCTGCGGGCGCAACACCTCCAGCAGGGAGGCGGTGGCTCTGATCACACTGGCAGTGAGGGCTGCTGTTTGTTCTTTCCACTAACCTTCCTCCTCCCCGTCTGCTGTATTTTGTTAAATCTTGCCTCTCTCTGTTCCTTTGCTTTAATTTCCGGGGTAAGCAGAGAACGACGCGAAGGTGACTGAAGTACACCAAGGAGTGTCCCCGGCCCTCCCAGATGAGCCTGCAACAGAGGAAACCCAGAAGACGACCACCAACGCCACGCTCAACTGCAAGCCTTGGCAACTTTGCCACTTTCCCTGCTCTGCCCTTTCCTGACCAGGACTGGACTCAGGCCCGAGCTGCTTTGAGCCGTCAGGTCCCCTCTGTCTACGAGGGTCCCCAGTCTCTGCAGACTCTCAGGCTGGCCCCGCCTGAGGCTTGCCTGGGACTGGACTCAGCGACGCACTTCCCGGAGTTCCAGAGAGCGGCGGCCGCTGCGGCTGTCTGGGTGCATCAGGCCAAGGTCCACTCTGGCTGACCGTTCCATGGAAAGGTGGTGCCTGCTGCCTTCCCCGTGTTTCTCTCTCCCGTGGTAATGAGAGGACACGAGGACCCCTGCCCCTCACCACGCTTTCACCGACTCATTTTAATGTTCTCAGACAGTTCTGCCGGAAACAGTGACTGCTGTCTGATGGCTTCCCGGAGCTCTCCCTGGGTCTCCCCGAGACCGAGCTGTGCCGCAGTGGGTCCTCCACAGGACACCCTGCTGCCCCAGCTACACACGGCCATCGGCTGTTTCAGAGCCCCGTGGCTGCAGAGCCACCCTGCCACGGGCACGCCACACACCATGGTGGTGGTCGTAAAATGGGAGTGGCCACAGCAACCCAGCGGGGCAGGCCGTGCTCTGGAGCCCCCGAGGGGTGGGAGCGGCCAGGCTTTGTCCTGCACCACAGCCTGACCCCGCCCTCTGGCCTGTCCTGCTTCCTCTGTGGCCCTTCTATGGGTGCCAAGGAACCAAGAATTCTCTGGTACCCACAGCCCGCTGGGACGCCACCTCTCGCCCTATGTCCAGGTCTATGGAAGGAAGAAGATGCAGGGAATTACTCCGTGTATTACAAACTACAACACAAACGCAAACTATTATCACAGGTGGATTCATTTAGACAGTTAAAAAATAGAACCACAAAACTGTATGGCAAAAATTCCTCTCATCTTTGCAACTTTACTCTTCATTTCTTTCTCTGCCATCTACACCTTTCAGGTTATTGGGTAAAGAACTTTTCTCCTGCACACTCCACTGTCTGGGTTACAGACTGGGTCATGCTGACGGTGGATATCCACTGTGATCATGCAAAGCTGCAGGCTTCTCCATAAATGGAGTCCTTGAGGGCACTATGCAAAGCAGTGTCACAATGTTCCATGAACCAAAACCCAATAAATTACAAGTGTATCTGAAGGACAGTTCTCACACCACGACACAATGTATATACCGAGAAAACAATATCCAAATTAGATTTCTCCAGGATGTTTTCTACAATGATTTTTTTAAAAGGTACTCACAGATGCTCCTCCCATAATCTTGGGAAACATAACGGTCGAACAGCCATCTGGACTCTGTCCGAAGGTAGTATAGGGTGTTTGAAACCAAGCCTTTTCATTAGCCCAAACCACATCACAAAGAGGCAATATGGACGCTCCTAGTCCAATGGCTGGGCCATTTACTGCTACAATAATAGGCTTCTTAAACTGAATGAAAGTATTCACGAAGTTTCTAAAATGAAAAATAAATGGGAAATTACTCAAAACATTGCATATTTGAGCAGATGAAAAAAATCTACCATGGAACTCAAGTTACCAAGATGTAAACTCCGGAAATCACGACTGGCTGAGACCTGTGTAAGACCCTCCCCAGGAGGTGCGGGCTGTGGGCTTGCTCATGGCTGGATGCAGGTGGGGACAGTAACAGCACGACTGCTCTTGAAAATGCAGTTGGCTCTGGGGCTCTCCAACCAAGGCAGCTTTCTCCTTAACCCTCCCCCTCAAAGCCCTAACACTACGGGCTTCGCATGACCAATCTTCGCATGCTGACAGCAGTGAACGGGGCCTGGCTTTGGTATGGGATTGAGGACAGCTCACTGTTCCGTGCAAACAGGTGTTTCCTGAGTGTGACTCAGCGACCTGGGGGCACCAGGCAAGGTGGGGAGAGCGGCCTCCCAGGAAGAGGAGGAGGAAGAGGAAGATTATCAAACCCAGCCAAGGCTGTCTGCAGGTTTGTTTTAGGATTAGGCCGGAAGAGCAGGCTGCTTTTCAATGCAGGGCGCTCCCCATCCTGGAAGGTGCGTGCTCAGAGGGGATTTCTTGTTACGCTTTAACACGATGAGGATGAGGAAAGGGTAAACACACCCAACGAGTGAAGGACAATCCCTTCTAGACATTCTGAGGTCTGGATCAGAACCGCAGGATGAACAGTGCGTTCTGCTGGCTCGACTCTAAACCTGAGCCCATTGTAAGCACCCGAACCTGGTCACCCAGACGCTTTCTACGCTGCAGCAACTCGAAAGCCCAGGGATCTGCTCAGGTCTCTGAAAGTCTCGACTCGGCATCTCAGACAGTGCCCCTCACCCCAAAACCTCAAACCTCGGCGGACTGGGCCACGGGCGGGGCAGGATGTGAGGTGAGGCGGGGAGTGGGTGGACAGCAAGGGAGAGAGGGGGCAGAGTTCGGCCCAGAGCGCAGTCACTGAGGGGGCCCCGGGGTGCCGCCACGTCCCCCAGGTTTCACCCCTGCAGCAAGCGAGGAGCTCATTCACAGGAAGGAGCTGCAGGGAGGCGTCCTACACCAGAGAGCCCGAGGCGCTGTCAGAAAATCAGACTGGGTTTAATGAGCCAAAAAGCGAGACCACCTCTGGGGCCCAGGAAACCCGCTGGGGGAGCCCAGCGAAGAACTCCAGGGGGGCTGCCACGGAGTCTGGGGTCGATGACGGGGGGGGGGCGGGGGGGGAGCCATTTCCTGCGCTGTTACTGATGCCTTCTCCACGAGGCGGAGCAGGTGCTCCCCAAGTGTGTCTCCCAGGGCATCCAGAGCGGTTCCCTGTGAAGGAGACCGCGCCCCATAGCTGAATGATGTGCGTGCGTGTTCGTGTGTGTATCAGCATGCAAAGAAGGATCAGCATTAGTGTAACTACTTTATGCAGTACTGGTCTTTCCCCACGTTATGTGTATAAAACACAATGAGAACTTGGACTTTGGGTGGAGAAATTTTAGCTGTTGCCTGGGATGCTAACTTTGATTGGACCCACGCCTCCTGGGAGGGAAGACCTCACCAGCACCCCTAGGAGTGAAGCGCTTCCCAATCTCTTCCAGAGGGAGGTGGCTTTCTGACGGGAAAACACTGAGACAGCAAAAAAATGTGGCCCACACAGAGAATTGCTTATTTAAACCACCACCACCACCACCCTAGAAATTCTCTGCCTGGCATGAACTCCTCAGGCCCACAAAAACTCACCAGCACTGGGAGGTACAAATCAAGCCACAGTACTCAGGGAGGGAGGGACAGCCTGGCTACAACTTCTGCTGGGTGTATTTAAAACTTAAAATCGAAACTCATAAACACGTACATGTGTGAAAAGAAGTGACGCTGACTAATTTTATTTCCATCACTCATATGCTGAATATTTCCCTACAATTAATCTGCAAAACTGGTTATCACCAAATCCTGATCATGGGAACTAGATGCCCTAGACACCGGAAGGCCTAATGTTCAATCCCATCTTCCTCCTTCTCAGTTTTCTTTTGAAAACTTGCTACAGTGAGGTCTTTTTCCTCAAAGTTTAAGTAACTGGAGACAAGATGCCACAGAAACAAAAGAAATATACATAGTAAGAGCTTTTGTGAGCTAATCTTATCCATGTAAAAATTAATTTAAATGCAAATGAGCGAGAGAAAGGTTAAGTGAATCTGGTGTAACTAATTATTTTTCTGGTCTTGCCAGAGAATATTTAGAAAAATTCACATTGACAAAAATACGATCACTTAAAGAAGGAAACAAGTGGGCTCCTTCCGCGAACCAGTTCCGCTCATGGGAGTGCTGGGGGACAGATGCAGCGGGCAGGTGACAGAAGTAAACATTTAAAGCTACCCAAAGGCCCCAGAAAGGAGGTCTGTATTCACATCAGTCTTTTTGGGGGTGGTACTGGGTATCGAACTTGTGACCTCGCGCTTGCCTGGCCTCTCCAGTCAGTCTCAATCCATCTTTCCTGTTTCACCAACCCTGACACCGCAAGCCCCGTTCCTGGGAGGGGATTTCAGTACTGCGGGAGCGGCAAGCTGAGCACCAGCGAGACTTAGGAGCGGTGCTTGCAAACAGACACAACCCGGGAAGGCTCTCGCTGACAGGCTTGGTTCCTCCCTACAGCACAGCTACAAAAAGCACAGTGTTACGTGTGGGTCTGGTGTGATCGCATGGACAATACAGTTATCCCAAGAGGTGTGATGCTTTGTATTTTAAAATACACCTTACACCACATAATTTGCCTGAATGGATGGGTTAACAGCGAGGAAGGGCTACTGGGCGCAAGGCTCTACGTGTCAGAAAATGACGCACCTTGATCAGCTTAACCAAAGTGGCTTCATTTCAAAACAATGAAGATGGTGCCGCCTACTACCAGATCACAAGTCTGAGATTATTTAAGAGGCCAGAATACTTAGTAAGTCAGATTAAAAATTTCAAACTGTTTCTGCAAAATAACTGTCATTAAAAATGGTAATGCTCAGCAACATTAGGAAATAACTTCCTAGATACAAGTGTTTAAATGTATTCATTTTAAAAGTGATTAATATGGTACACAAGGCCAAAGTAACTTCACAGCTGGGGATCCAGGATTCCTCCCGTGGGCTGTGTGATCTTTCAAGGAGAGGGGTCCTGCTGTCCCTCAGACGCCTGGCAGCAGAATCGAGCACACCACACCTGCTGGGCACCTCTACAACAGGTCAGGGGACTAGAAGGACAGGGCCACAAGGGCAGTGCTCAGAGCCGCGGGTGTCAGAGCCCTGGAACCACCCAGCCCGCAACTGCAACTCCGCAAGGGTCTGGGGTCTTGGAGAAGATCCAGCCTACTTCACTGACATTTTGCAAAGCTGAATCTCTTTTTCATCCTTTATGAATTAAAAAGATAAACACAAAAGATTCTTAGGTGTCGCCAAGGATATGTGCTTTCAGAAAGGTGAGTAGGGAAACAAATCTTACTGGTTAGTGGCTGGTTTCATTCACTCTAAATAAAATTCACCTCTGAAGTACTAGATAGTTGTTTTTATATACAGTGATTAACAAGATAAATGAGGGGATCTGCTTACAGCAGCGTCAGGCAGTATAATGCAGGCTTTGGGCACTTTTATTATGATACTAGAAAATCCAACCATCCAGGGGAAGGAGTATGTCAAAATCACACTGCTGGGTGAAAAAGGCAAGTTGCAAAGCAACACAACACAATTCCATTTATTTTGTAGAATTATAAACAATCTATATTATCTGTGTTTAGGAGATGTATATCTGAAAATACTTGGATCAGGAACTCTATCCTACATCATGGCAACCGTCAGTAGTAATACACTGTATACTTGGGAATTGCTAAGAGTGAATTTCATGTGCTCACACCTCAGAAATGCCCGGATGTACCTGTATTAGCTTGATTTGGCCATTCCACGGTATGTGCACGTTTCAAAACACCAAGTTGTGCAAAAGAGCAATTTGGGGAAAGGAGTGGTTTTTTGAGACAGTCTCACTATGTAGTTCAGGCTGGCCTTGAACTGACTATTGTAGCCTCTTTGGCCTTGAACTCATGCTGATCCTCCTGCCTCAGTCTCCTGAGTGCTGGGAGTAGAGATGTGTGCCACAATGCCTGGCTTCCACATAAGCAGTTTTTATGTCGTTTAAAAAGTAAATAAAAAAATTAAGAATAAAAGTTTTTTTTTTATTTTTTAAATTTTTTTGAGACAGGATCTCCTGAGGGAGTTCAGGGAAGCTTTGAACTCACTATGTAGCCCAGGCTGGCCTTGAACTCTTGGAGATCTTCCTAGCTCAGCCTTCTGAGTACTAGGAATACAAGTGTGCCACCACTCCCAGCAGAATAAAATTCTTTAGAAAAAGGTTGAGGAAGACATAGGTGAATGGTGGATTCCAGGGGGTGGGGTACAAGAGGAAGGAGACTCTTGTTTTTCACTCTCTGTTGCCTAGTTTTCTGTGTGGCTGGCACTTAGGATGAACCTCAATATAGACGTGCCCTGCTTGTACTAGAAAGCGAGTTCTCTCCATGCGATCCTATGGAACTGTCACCGAGCCTAGGCAACTTCTTTCAGAGTTTAGCAAATGGCTACTTACTATCTAGAAGAGAATGCGCTTCTGTGTAAGGGTGGAGGATGGGACTCACAGCACAGACGCCCAGAGCCTCCTTGGGCCGCGCGGCTTCCAGTCACCAGGCCTTGCGTGCACACTCGCGGCTTCAAGCTGGCCTCCGAGCCGGTTCTCTGCCCAAGGCAAGCAGTAATTTATGCCAGCCCAAAGAAAAGGCAGATGATCTAATTAATTTTGCCACTACTGCTCCGCAGAGGAAGAAGATGTACGTATTCCCCACGCCTCTCTGGGTCTGTTCTCTGACTGCACACTAAAAAGAAATACCTGAGCCAACATTCCACACACACCGGTGCTGCGTACCTGATCGCCTCGGCCATTTTAGTGCTTTCTCTTTTCCGGTCATCTGTGAGACGCCGTATGAAATAAATAAAGTCGAGACCGCAGCAGAAGACACTGCCGACTGCGCTGAGCAGCACCAGCTTGCTGTCGTCGGCAGCGGCCGTGTTCAGAGCACTCTGGACTTCTTTCATGACCTGAAAGTCACCACAGGTTCAAGCGGTAAACAACATTTTGGGTACAGACTCTTACAAGCATTCTCCCACTGGGTGATCGAGATCTACATAAAACACATTCCACTGCGACTTGAAATGACTCTCACCCTTCCTACTGGGGTGCAGGGGACGGAGTATAAATATAGCTACATACGGAGTTATAAATCGAGTATAATTAGAGAGATATAGGCATCTAAGTCACCGTAATGGTGTACAGCCAGTGCCGTTCTCAGCAGACACTAGTTCTCAATTACACATCACCGCCACTGGGTATTTCTGCAGTTTCGACAGCAGGTGGCACATTCAACCGGTTCAAAGAAAGGAGTTCAGGGTTTTTTTTTGTGGGGGGCGGGGGGGGGGGAGGCGTGTGTGCCATTTTTTTTTTTTCTCCTTTCAAACCAACCTACCACACTTGGGTTGCAGACCTAAATAGTTTGGTGCATTCAAGTCAAACGTATCGGCATGGGAAGGTAATTGTCGAAGGGCACACAATCAGTTAAAATGGTCCCTAGGAAGCCTTTATAAATAACCAGCAAAGGGACCCTGCAGTCTAAAAATGTACTGAGGTCCAGCCCTGAACTGGCTTGTTACGTGACCCTGGCCGAACACGGACTCTGTGGTTTGATTTTCTCATCTGGAAACAACCTGCCCAAGACGCTCACAAGCAGAAAACAAGCCCCCCTCGAGTTGGGAACGGTACAGGGCGGGCCCAAGCACTCCTGCTTCTGGACGCTGCAGAGCCGAGTCTGAGCCGTCGCAAGCACTCGTCTCCCTGGTCTCCGGAAGCTGCCTTCCTGAGACTACTCTTAACATGTGCAGACCTTCCTGTCCCTGCGGGTCTTGGTACAGTGCGGAAGAGGAACTGTCGCTGGGTGATGACAAAATCTCAGAAGGGGCCAGGACCCTGGGCGTGGCACTCTTGTTGGAACAAAGAACCCGTCAAGAGTGGATGAAGGCTAAAGAAAGCGTGTGCACACACTTCCCCCATGACTTTAGGGAGGCCACAGGCTCCCTGGACCCCATGCCTTGCGAATGAAGAACTCCTGACCTGGAAAGTGACAAGGACAGAGCCATGGGTCCCACCAGAGCCCACATCCAGGAGAGTGGAGTGGACATCAGCACACGTCTACTGCCCGTCACTGCAGCCGGAAGTCTGACGTCACCTCTGCTTCCTACCTTCCGCTGGGCGGAGCGGCCCAGAAGTGTCAGAAAGAGCACAAAGGAGAGCGCCAATTCAGCAAAGCAGGCCGGGAGAATGGGCGTGGAGAAGCAGGAAGCACAAATCGGCCCAAGGAGTGTCTCTCACCTCTGGATTTAGTGAGTTATTCTCTGATGATTTTGTGGACAACAAGATGTGGGTGAAGCCATCCTGCTTCCTGACGACAATGTCTCTGTATCTGTAGGCACTCTCTGTTTGCCTCACACTGAAACGCAAGCGCTTGTCAAAAGGCTGGTCTCTTCTGTCGTCAATAAATTTCCTTTTCCCGGCTGTCACTCCTGTAACAGATGTCTGTATGTTGGTTGTTCCATTGGCTGTGAGCGCGTCCATGAACGGAGACGTACCTGCCAAGAGTGTGAAATCACAGTGGTCTGTGATGTCCCACCACCAGGCCACTCCCCAGAGCCATCTCTGAGTGAGAGTAAAATGCACACTGCAAACCCAGGACCCTATGAGGGGCGCAAGAAAGTTAAAACCAGAATGTTCTGCGAGTTTACTTTTAAAGGTACTCCTTTTCCTTCAGTGTCTGACAAGGAGATCACAATCTCACTGACCTGGCCTAACAAACAAAGATGGAGAGGCATGTACTGAAAGGAGGCTGCAAAACTTGAGACTTCTGAAGAATGGAACTACGACAGGATGGGTCTTGTGGTCTGAGAAGTTGAAAGGAAAAAGGAAACTAACTCAAGAAAGCACCAGCAGGTTAAGGCTACCTGCCATCTAGCCCAAGTTCTCGTCTCTGAATGGAGCAGGGACGCGTACGGACACACAGGCACACCTTCTCCCTGTGTGGCCGGTCTGCGGAGCAGTGTGGCGGCTGCCCTTCCCGCAGACACCACCTGGACAACAGAGGGGATAACCAGTGTTCTCCCTGGCGGGGACTGTCTGAAGGCCCAGCTCTTTACCAAACAACTGTTCACACAGTTCAACACCTTTCCCTCGTCTCACCACACAAAATGTCCTCTCGTGTTACACAGCTCTTCAACATCAACAGGGGTGGCGTCCATCTTTTGATTTTTTGGTGCTGAAGAAGGAAGCTGGGGCCTCACACATAGTAGGTTAAGTGCTCTACCACTGAAGCAAACGGCCGTCCTCCAGCATCTTTATTATAGTAAAAATCAGTGGTTTGACACTCTGTACTAGTTACCAAGATATGCCACGGTAAGACCTCCAGTACTGAGACAAATAATTATCTTCCTATCTACCTGAACTGTCTAAATATTAGCTAACATGGTAATAAGTGCACAGAACTTCTGGATGGAGAACAGAGGAGAGAAATATGTAAAAATTACCACAGGCCTTACTAATGAAATAGTACTGGTAAAGTTTTCTGAAGCAAATGTAATGAGGGATTATGAGTCAGAAATCTTTCAGAGTGAAAGAAAATAAGCCTGAATCACCACAGAAGCCCATCGATGGACATTTGAGAGAGGCCAAGTATTTCCTGGGTAAAACAACCTGGCCTTCAGGTGGTAGAGAAATGGCATTATCTATTTTAATCTTTGGAGTTAAAAAATACAAGCCTTTACAGGCTGTACTACGCGGGTATGTTCTAAGAATCCCAGGCTGCACAGACCCACGACGAGAGGCGCCCCATCTGCCCAGGGCTCTGCCCGCCACAGAGCCGCTGGCGCTGGTTTCTCAGCAGCCTCCTAGAGAGTTCTTGATCTACAGACAAAAGAGTACCGGGAGCCCTCTCCTCTCCACCCTTCAAACACCACAGGTGGCAGTGCATGAGGCCCGCGCACCCTCCGTACGGGCTCTCGCTTGCTTTTCCTCGGGGCGGAGCACGTGGGGGCTTGCCCTCCCTCCGCACAGTCTGCTCTTCTCGAAGGCCGTGCGGCAGCCCACCGTACGGGTGTTCTAGAACTCACTTTCCCAACCACACTGGAGTAACGTTCAGTGATTTTCAGAGTATCGCCAACAGTGCAGCAATGCCTAACCCTGGCCCACCACTGCAGCGCCAGCAATCGTACAGGCCGGTGCCTGAAGGGTTCGCAACCTCAAGTATTTCCAGCTAATGACGAGCACGGCAGGTGTCACCTGTCAGGATGGTGCTGGGTCCTGAGCAGCTTGGGAACGCCCTGTCTCTTCCTTTTAACCTTCACCTTTTCTTCTACCAGAGGCTCGCCGTTCTGTTCACAAGTTCCCAGTGTCCTCCCGCCAGAAGCCCAGCTATCTGCTCCTTCTTTCTCCTGGTCTTCTGCTCTCATGCCCAGCACAGCCTCAGCTGGTCTACACCCTTGTCTCCCTGTCCACCAGTCCTTCGTCCACTCCGTTCAGAGCTTGAGTCAACATAGCCAGATAACTTTTTTTTTTTCTGTCTTTTTGAGATCGGGTTTCACTATGCATCTCAGGCTGGCCTTGAGCTCACTTTGTAGCCCAGGCTGGCCTCAAACTCACAGCGATCCTCCTGCCTCAGCCTCTCGAGTGCTGGAATTACAGGTGTGTGCCACCACACCTGGCTTAGCTAGGTAACTTCTAAGTACAGAGGAACGTGGCCTGGATGATGCTGGGCAGGTCTTTTAGCCTGAGTGAGCAGGAGGAACACCCACGGGGTGCTGAGGAGACAGGAGCAGCACGGTAGGGAGACTGTTTCATCCAGGGTGAGTGGGTAGCTGGGTAAAATGCTGCAGAGCTCAGAGTGGGGCCGGGAAGGCAGGGTGGAGAGATGTGGGGCCGGTGTCGGGACAAGGGCCGGACTGACAGGCAGCACCTGCAGAGGGAGGAGCAGGTGTGGGGAGCGAGCCTGCTGTGAGCCGCTGGGACAGCACACAAGGACCAGGAGCTGCGCAAGGCGGGGCCCACTGGCAACATGGACGCGGATGCGTCCCGAGGGGAACAGACAGGTGCTCCTGGGAGGGGAGACCAGAGGCCTTCAATAAACAGGCCAAGGTGCCACTCCAGAGCCCCAGGCACAGAAGCTGGACAACAGGACAACAAAAGGCAGATGGTAAGGGCCCTAAATGTGCTTTCAGTGAAGAACTGGTAGAAGTGTGCTTCACAGCACCCGGGAACGGCACTGCAAGTGAGGACACTGACTCTGAGGCCAGGCTGACCTCAGGGCGTTCCGGCACCAGGAATAACCTGGGCAAGCTGGGAGGCCGCATGGCCTGGCGGAGGGATTCATGGCAGGGGACAGACACAGGGTCACAGACACGGGGTCACAGGCCAGTGGGGGCGCTGGCCTTCCAGCAGGAGCGTGCCGCGCAGACTGCACCTGCCAGGGTGCTGGGTCTTTGGGTGTCACTTTGATGCTTTATTAAAGTGCAAAAAGAGACCGTGGCAACACCGGGGCTGGGCTGTGGTCCTCGTATGCTGACACCCTTGCCCCAAGGAGGTGGTGTTTGGAACTGGGGCCTTGAGGAGACTAGGTCAGCGGAGCCTCACAAAGGGGGGATGAGTGCCTCTGTGAAAGAAGCCGCAGAGAGAGCCCTCTCCTCGTGAAGCTATCACCTACCGGAGACCCAGGAAGCCCACACGAGCTCCAAACCTGCCAGCTCCTTGCCTTGGACTTCCTGTCTCCAGAACTGACGGAGATCAATCTTCTGCTGTTCAGAAGCCACCCAGACGATGGTGTTTGTGACAGCAGCTGAGCAGACAGACACGTGCTGACCCCGCGGTCGCTGCCGCCCTCCAGGGCGATGCCGGGCTAGCTTTGGGTCAGCCTCTGCCACCCTAAACTTTTCTTTCTTTTCATAGTGTTTTTATTTCTGTTTAAAGTCACTGACTCCTTAAACTCTCTGAGGAGATTTCCTGGTGGTTTCCCTCTACGGGGGCAAGATTTCCATGCTGTGATGCCCATGCGGCCATTCCTCCTCAGCTTCAGAAAAAGCCCCACAGTCTTTGAGGTAACACTGCCCATGGAGCTATCCGTGGTTCTGCACTTTAGAAACGGATTCATGTCAGCTTGGGCTCCCAAGACCACTGAGCTGGATCTCTGGCCTCCTGTGTTAAGGGTGTGTCGCTTCCTGTATTGCTACTGAGGTCCCTGCTGAAACCTGACTCTGATCCTGCTAGTGCCTAATTACCCTGTCACCCCAGTGTGGCTCGAGGGAGCCTGTGTTACCCAGCTGACGTGTAACTTGGCACTATTTGGGCAGAGAAGTGCTCAGGCCAGGGCTGAGCCCTGGCCTCACAGGTTCCCAGTGCTGAGCCCCATAAGAGCAGGGTCCCTGTTCATCTCGCTCACTGCGTAACCTCAGTGCTCACAATACTTTTTTTTTCCGGTACCGGGAATCGAACTCACAACCTTGCACTTGCCAGGCAGGAGCTGTGCCGCTGAGCTAAACCCCCAGCCCCAGTGCTCACAATACTTATTAAATCATTACTGAGCAAATAAACGCAGCCCCTTCAGTCCAGATCCCAGGACTGGGAAACAAGAACTTCAGTGACCTGCTGGATATCACACAGCTGGTTCATCAAGCCAACCTAAGGCAAGCAGCTTAGTACTGAGAGCAGAAGCAACTCTGAATCAACTGCTAGGGTCTAAACCAGAGGTGAATGCTGAGATTCAGGAAGAAGCATCCTCCCACAGACACTATGAACGCAGTGTGCCTCTGGGACTCCAGCTCTTGGGAAAACAGTTGCGAAAGCTGTCTCTGTGAGCTGACAATTCCTTAGGGGTCGGGACGCTGAGACTACCAATACGTTCCTGTGATTCATCAGCATAAAATTCGGTTAGGAAAGAAATCTATTTTAGTGTCTCTTCTAATAACTGGTTTTTGCTTAATGTGTTCAAGAGCAAAACGGACAGCCTCAGACATGGATGATTAATCTGTTAAACATCACAGCTTCACAAATTCTCTCTAGAAAGGACTCCTGGCATCTGTTCCCAACCGTAGCAAGAACTGCGTCTGGACTTCCTCACCTCCACTGACAACTAGCAGGCAGAACAAAATATACACAGCAACCGTCTCCAGACACTGGACAGCAGGCAGGGCTCACTCCCAGAGAGGAAGGTGGCAGCGAAGGTGCCTAGAGACACCTGGCACCCCCACGGCAGGAGGGGAACCCCGGCACAGTCTGGCAAACTGCTCAAGTAGGACACTATCTGGGGACCCAGGAGTCTACCACGTGTGGGGCAGGGCAAGAGAAAGGAGGGAGCTACACAGAGAAGGCTCCAGAAGCGTCTACAGATCTCCTGGGGTCTTTGCTGAACACCAGTTCAGACACACATAGGGAGAAGTCCACAAGGCTCAGCACGAACAGCTTTTAAGGAAAAAAGTTACTACAGACCTAAAAAACTAAGTAATTCCCAGAGTCCAGACGGTGGGAGTCCTCACCAGGCAGGGCGGGAAGACGCCGCCGGGTACACGGAACACTCCGTGGAGACCCGGTACAG